CACTATTCTGCCCCCTATTACTATAGGTTAGTTTTGTCCTTTAACAAGATAAATGTCTTCTTGTTAACAATTTTTTAGATGTTTTTAAGACTAATGTATTCACATTTCCAGGAACGTGCAAATCTAACAGCACTGTGATAATTGAACTAAGAAGCTTAATGATGTCCACAGATTTTGATTTATTAATCTCTTAACTATGGGATTATATGAAGACATTAATAATGTCATATCAGTGTTTTCATAAGTTATAAACAACTGTAAAAATTAAAATTATGTAATTCCTGACTACACAAAATGCTTAAATGAATTATAGTCCATTCATATGTATAAACCTTTATGACACCTTTAAAGTTTAAGATTACTGAAGACTGTTAATGAATTATGAGAAGCCTAGACATGGTCATTGAGAAGGCAGGATGAGTCTGCATTAGTGATGAGATTTTAGATCTACTGCAAAAAATAAAATCTATAACAGGAAAACTTCAAAAGTTGATGTTATCAAAATCAAGGTTTTGCTGGAGAAAATATTTACAATGCACTTTTTTGATAAAGGAATGGTATCCAAAACATACAAAGAACACTTAAATTCTGCAATAAGAAAACCACCAAATTTTCAAATGACCAAAATATCTAAAAAGACACCTCACCAACATATATATAGAAAAGGCAAGTAAGCATATAAAAAAATGCCCAATCACTTCTGTTTCCTTACTGTGAAAGGTAGCTGGAAAATCCCCCCAAATACTTGGAGATTAAACTACATGCTTCTAAACAACATGAATTAGAAACAAAGTCTCAAGAAGAATTTTAAAGTAGCTTGAACTAAATAAACTTTAATTTTTTGAAGGTAGTAGAAATACAACAGAACAAGACAGAACAAAGTCAATCAAGACAATGTGGTGAAATCTGTACAGAACTTCAGAGCAGGTTACCAGGATAACAGTAATAATAGGTACCATAGTTTATCTCGTTATCTTCACAATAGTTGTCTAGCCAATTAGGTATAGTGAAATCAAACCAAAGACAGAACATTATAAAACCAAAGAGAATATTGAATAGAGTAAAACAATCATAATGAAACAAAACAGTGAAAACAACATTTGCTTTCAAACACAAGATAGAAGGAGATCCCCCATATTTGCTATGTTGCATACAATCATCTTCCCAAAAGATGCTCAGACCTCTGTTCCCAGTTGCTAAGGTGGGGGATTGGGATGTTTGATTCCTAGCCCCCGCACCCGTAGGCTCACAGGACACGCTGACTGAGTTTCCTCCTTGCTCACACCTGAGGAAGACACTTACCAAGAGGGCAGGGGAATTGCTTCTTTGTGCAGCCTCCTGGGTTCCACCAGGGTGGTGGCCAGATCTCAGGGACCGCTGACTGGTTCTCCTCCTGACTCACACCAGAGAGAGGCACTTACCCCTACATAAAATTGAAAATAAAATATAGCTAACCAAAATTTGTTGGGTGAAGCAGACCAGTGCTTAGAAAAACAAACATAACACTGACCTAAATATTAGAAAATAATAATGATCTAAAATTAGTAACCTAACAAACCACTCTACAAAATTAGAAAAAGAAAAGCAATATAAATCTACAGCAGCCAGAAGAAAGGAAAATAAGAAGAAAAGGAGAAGGAAATAAAGAAGATTAGTGAAACCAAAGTTGGTTCCTTGACAAGAATAAGAGATAAATCTCTAACTAGAAAAGCCAAGAAAAAATAGAGAAAACACAAAATATTATTATCAGAAATTAAAGGGGGACCTTTTTTACTAATGCTATGACACTTAAATAATAATAAAAAGATAATATGAATAACTCTACATTTACACATTTATTAATTTAGAAAAAATAGATGTATTCTTTGAAAGACACACCCTACTAAAACTTACACAAGGAAAAGTAGATAGCCTGAATATGTCCATACCTATTTAAAAATAGCATAAGTAATTAGCAATCTTCCAAAAAGAAAAGCACCAGGTCCACTCAGATGGTTTCACTAGTAAATTCCACTAAACACTTAAGTCTCAAGTCATACCAATTTCTATAATTTGCTCCAGAATATAGAAACAGAGGGAATACTTCCAAATTTAAACTTATCCAAATAAAAAGAGAAGTAAATTATCTCTGGTCACAGATAATATGATGTTGGATGTAGATAGCTCTAAGAATTCTACACAAGGGCTGGAGGTTTAACTCAGCAGCAGAAGCACCTGCCTGGCAAGTACAAGGTCCTGAGTTCAATCCCTGGTACAAAAAAAGTCTACACAAAACAACTGTTAGAATTAATAAATATATTCAACAAAGTAGTAAGATATAAAATCAAGACACATCAGTTGCTTTTTTATACATTAACAATAAAAAATCTGAAAAGGAAGCTAATAAATCCATTTAAGTGCATCAAAAAGAATAAAATATTATTTCTATTCTTTTATTATTAAGCAAGAAGGCAAAAGAGTTTACAATAAATGGTATAAAACACTGCTAAGAAGAAATGAAGCAAGGTATAAATAAATGAAAATACATTCTATGTTTGTGGATTTTCTAGTTTTGTTAAGATGTAAATACTATCCAAACCCAGTAATGGATTCAAATTCTATATAAAACAAACAGAAAATCTCATTCTGAAGTTCACATAAAATAGTAAGGGACTCAGAAAGGTCCAAACAATCTTGTAAAATAATACAGCTAGAGAAATAGTTCTTCCCAACTTCAAAAGTTCCTACAGTTTTATAGTGAATAAAGCAGTGTGGCACTGGCATAAAGATAAGAGAGACCAATGAAATAGGACAGAAATCCCAGAAATATACCTCCATGTATAAGGGCAAATAGTTTTTCACAAAAATAACAAGAGTACTTACGGGATTTTCTATGAACACTAAAAATATTCATGTGTAAAAGTACACTCTCTTACCAGCACCATATATAAAATCAATTAAAAACCAAACACCAAAATTTAAAGCTTAAAATTACAAAACTCTTAGAAGACAACCTAGAACAAAAGCTTCATGACTTCAGATTTGGCAGTTACTTCTTAAATATGGCACCAAAATCACTACACAAATTAGACTTCATAGCAATTTTTAAAAATTGTGCATCAAAGGACACTATTGACAAAGTAAAAAAACAATATGTAGAATGAGAGAATACATTCACAAATTATGTATCTGATGATTGATATTCAGAATAGAAGGCTCTAAAACTAAACAACACAAGTAAACAATCTTATTCAAAAATTGGCAAGTGTCTTAAATAAACATTTTTCAAAGATATGCAAACAGGTAATAACCACATGAAAAGATGCACAGCATCACTAATAAAGAGAAATCAAAATTATGATAAGATATTGCTTCACGTCTATTAAGATGGTTACTGTCAAAACGATAAGAAATACCAAGTGTTGACAAGGATACAAGAGGATAGAGCACATATGCACTATTGGTGGGAATATAAAATGATATGTTAATTCTTTTAAAAATTAAATATACAATTACACACTGGAATCACACAATTCAATTTCTAACCCTACGGAATTTAGAACAGGTATCAAAGATGTATTTATTCAAACATGTTCACTACATTATAAACAACTAAAATTCTAGTGTTATCCAAGTGTCCATCATCAGATGGATGGATCAGACAGATGAAGAGGCCAAATATGGTGTATCTATAGCATGAAATATTAATCAGCTTTAAAAAATAAAGAGATTCTGACACAAAATGGATGACCCTTGAGGGCAATATGCTAGGGAAATAAACCAGTCACAAAAGGTGAAACACTTTATGATTTTGTTTATATGAGGTAGTCACCAAAGTCAAAATCATAGCGATGTTAAGTAAAGTGGTGATTAGCAGAAGTTTGGGGCTGGGTGTGGAGGGAGTCTGTGTGTAGTGGTACAGAGTTTCTGTTTAAGGGATGACAAGAGTTATAGAGACTACACAGCAATATGAATGTACCCAGTGCCTAGGAACTGTAGGGCGATTGATTTAGTGGTATATGTATTTGACCAAGATAAGAATAATAATAATTAATTTATAGAAGAAAAGAAATGAGCAACGAAAGCATAAAAAGATACGGAGTACCCTAAACACTTAGTGAAAAGAACCAGGCTGAAAGACTACATACTATATAATTCCAAAATAGGACAGTTAGAAAAGATAAACATGTAGAGAGGAAAAGCACAAGTTGTAGCCAGAGATTCGGGGGAAGAGGATAAGGGAAGAAGAGGATGAATGCAGGGAGTTCTTAGGCAGCAAGCATTCTGCACAGTATTGTAATGATGACACCTGGAACAAGGGGGTACACAAGGTCAGCGGCTTGCCCACCTGGCTGTTTTCCCCTTGTTCCACTGTGTGTGAGCCAAGGGAGGCCTTTTGCAAACAGGTCCGTTCTGTCTGAATCTGGATGAATATTTTACTCAATTTATTGAACTTTTTTTACTTGAAAAGAAGCTATAATTCCTAAATAAGGTGTTTGCATCTACATTGCTACACAATCATGATTAGTATGTTCTAGGCTTTCACTAAGAATCTAGGTCATTAAGACTTGCAGATTCCTAGATTTCTTCATTCTGTCAGGGTTCTGTGGAGCTCCCTGCCCTCGTTTCAGAGAGCCTGCTGGGGTTAAGGTTGCAGAGACCTTTGTGATAGGGAGCACACACCAAGCCTGAGGACCCATGCCAGGCCTTCTGGTACCCTGCCAAGGGAAAACTCTTGGCTCTCCTTACTCAGCGCGATGTCATTTTCTCTTTCCCACAGATCATTTTCCACTTCAAAGAAATCAGAGCTTCATAGTTACATGAGATCATTTCTTATACATTACTGGGAGAAATCACATATCCTTCCACCGCTGTTCCTCAAAGTCTGAGTACAAGATAGGAACCCACAGCTTCCTTCTCTTTATCTATAAATCACCACGGGATCTGATGCCTACTCATCAAATTTAGGGCATTACTACATCCTTCCTGGACCACGACACTGCCCAGGGTCTTTGCTCCATATGAAAGGCAGGCAAAGTCACCAGAGGAGCAGAGAGGCTCAGATCAACCCAGAAACTCTAGCTATCACTCTGAAGCCCACCTCCTCACCCGCCATCAGGGAGGTCTCTGCAGTGCTTTTGTGCCTGCTGCTCACAAGTGCTGCCATCAGCACTCATGCATTTACTCAACCAAGTAAGGTCTCTTTTCCCCTCAGAGTAATATTTTAACCACGACAGTACCACCATCCCACCCTGGGTGATCCCAGACTTTCTGCACACTCTGTTCTTTGAAGATGGAGAAAATGAGATTAAAAGAGGAATTGAGAAGAGCCATTATGTCACAGTTAGTCATAAACAAAACCAGAACTAAATGCTCAAGACACTTAGGTCAGCCTCCATGAGGCCTCCAGACACCAGCTTTGGGAGAAGACCCTGAGTGCAGCCACTACATCAACATGCTTCACATCATTTGGAGAAATGGAGCCGAAAGAAGAACCATGTCTCACAATGAGTGGAAAGGGCATTTAAGGGAGTAGAGGAAAGGAAGGAATATTGCTTCAAATTTCCGATTTCATGCCATGGTCTGGTGTAGCTTACATAAAAGTGGCTGAATAAGGAAGGATAAGAACTCAGAAGTTTCTCAACATAGGACACAGGTTGACTCAAAAGTCATGGGGACAAGTACCTAGGAAGCAAGGTCTAGATTAGCAGATGTGATTTATTCATGTGCAGTCAACAGTAAAGAGCCTGTTACCATTGGCAGCCAGTGAAAATGACTCATTAGTAACACTTTATTGCTGGGATCTGGGCTAAGGCACAGAACTTGGGAGAGGTGACTTCAAGGATTTCTTCAGCCCTCCGCTTCCCTTATGAGCGTACACAACAATGTCTGCTGTCTCACTCTTTACGCAATTGCTTGCAGATTCAGTGTCCCTTCCAGTCAAGTGCTGCTTTTCTATGCTCAAGAAAAGGATCTCTATCCAGAAGCTGAAGAGCTACACAACAGATACCAGCATCTACTGTCCTCAGGAAGCCGTGATGTAAATGGGTCATGCTTGGCACCCCTACTCAAGTGTTAGTGACAGGGAAGAGAGGTCAGGATTTATGACCAAATGAGTCAGACAAGCATAGCATCTAATCCAAAGGGCCCCTTCACCTCATAGGGAAGCTGAGCCCACTGGATGGTTATGGAGCTCATAACCATCCATACGTTGGTGAGATGATCCAAGCTCTTTTAGCCATGAAGGCACTGTCAGGACTTCAGCTGAGATAGCAAGATCAGTGTTCCCCCCTGAGACCTCCTCCTTCCACCTTTTCTCATTCTTCTCTCAGATACAAATCTTTCACCTTTGCAGACTAGCACAAGGGCTGATCAGGTCTTGAAACCAGTAGATAATCTTGAGCACAAGCCTCAAAGTTCTTCATCTCACCAAGCCTTCTCTGTCCCACAGCTTCAGGACCAAAGATAAAGAAGCCCAGGCTAATCCCAAGGAGAACTGGGTCAGTGATCTCATCAAACATCTGGATAAAATCTCCCAAAGTTTGAAGCCTTGTACTTTCATTCCTGAACTAATAGTGAGAGCCTGAAAAAACCTTGTTTATTTTCTCCCAGTTTCTTATAATGTCCAAAAAGAGGAACTTACTTAATAATTTAAGACACAATGTTCTTAAATAGTGTGTACTCACAGTTAAATTTTTGGTATTTTACTTCGTCAGCCATATAATTTGGATGTAAAATACAAAATTCTGTTAGTGTGTATTTTTTTTCAATGAGTTCAACTGAGTTGTAGGGAAAATGTCAGTTATATCCTTCCCATATTCCAGAGAGATTATAAGATCTACTCACGGATATACACAGTTTTCTGCATTTGTACAGAATGTGTGATCCTTCAAATCAAGTGTTTGCTTGTACTGTCTTATTCAAGTTAATGTCATTACATGGCTAGGGAATTCTCATAGAAAGATCTATGTGTAAGCTTAAATAACTCTTACTTTGCATGTGGTGCAGTTTAGCTTGGAGAGGACACACAGCAGCTGTGGGTAGCAGTTTGAGATGCATGGCACAGTGAACAGTTGGAGATCCTGCGGTTTGAACTGGACTGGACTCCTTTGAGGTTCAGGGGGAACTTAATAGGACCGACCAGGTCATTCAAGCCCTGATACCCCCTGCCCTTATTCATTAGGATCTCTAAGCCCATTTCTTTTCTCACCACAGCTATCTTTATCAAAAATCTCTCTCTGATCTTTTGCAACAGCCTACAAAATGCTTTTCCATAATCCCTAGTTTTCTCCACCTAACTAATTCACAAAGGCAGAGTCATATTCAGGAGTGAAACAAGACCAACAATGAAAGTGAATATCTACATTCCACATTTATGCAGGGTTTTTTATGACTCTGACCCTTCAACACAACTGGTCCGGAAGGATGCATGTGATGGACTGCAAATGGATAGAGCTCTTCTGAGCTGGAACAAGAGGGAAAGGAGGCCAAAGAGTCAAGGGGAAGAACCCTTAGTAGCTGGACTCTGTAAAGACAGAGGAATTTAGAGTTTTAGAAATCAAAGACTGGAGCCCAATTTTAAGGGGTCTTGAACTTCAGACTGGGGAATCACTGGGTCATAGAGACTCACTGAAACTTCAGAAGTAGCAGAGGAGAAGAGTGACACATTGAGAAGCAACATGAGGAAGAGCAGCCTAGGGTCTGAGCGTAAGGCGGAGGAATGGAGGGAGAGTCTGTGAAGGGCGACTGGTGTGGTGCAGGAGAGATTGGGTGATAGTAAAGGTAGAATAAGGGATACCTGTTAGAAAACTATGGATCCAGAACAGAAGCCCATGTCTTAAAAACTCACAGAGCAGCTACTTAAAGCACTGAAAGCTCTGAGATTCAGAGTTCATGTTATCTCCTCTGTGATCTAAATATTTGTAGTCCTCCAAATTTCAAGCTGAAGGCTAATCCCCATTGTCTTAGTCCATTCTTGCTTCCATTAAAAACATAAATAGCTGGGCCCAGAAGTTGTGCCAAATGCCTGATAGCATGCCAATCGCCTGTAGTGTTTGTGGTTTGAGCTGTCAGGCTTCCTGGCAAAAATATCACAGTGCTTTTGGCCAGAGATTTATTACACTTTTCCTTGGAAAAAGAAAAGAAAAAAAAATACAAAGGTAAATGATTAATTCAAAGTCCAAATTCTTATTTTATGCATGTAAAATGTCCAGGCTGCTACAAGATTACCACAGTTTTCAGCCATGCTCAGACAGTGGTTCTTTGTGTAGGCTGTTCAACTATTCTGTGCCAGTCTAGAGAAGGAAAGGCTAGACTCACAGAAGGTTGCTCATTAAGAAGAAAACAACACTAATGATCTATACAACTTCTTCAGGTTGCTTTTTCACAGAAAGCTTTATCCTAAGTTCAGTAACTGCAATGATCTACCAAGATAATGTCATTGTGTTTGATTTTGCAAGGTGCACACAGCATTGATTTCCTATATTGATGACAGTTTTTCATTAAACTTTTGATTCTGAACAAAAAAAATAGCTGGTTTTGGGTACTGTGTAAAGAAAATAGGTTTATTTGACTCATCAATCTAGTAGCTAGAAAACTGAGACAGACGAACACTTTGTTCATGGAAATGAAGCAGCTGTATACAAAAGGAACCAAGCAGGGTAAGGGGCAGTCTTGCTTTGTACAGCCCACTGTCATGGGAAGTCAGCCTGGAATACCCAAACCCTTCCTAGAGACCAGAACTAATCCACTCATGAAAGTGAAACCCCCATGACATAATTGCCTTCTACCAGAGCCCACTTCTGAAACCTTCTGTTGCCTCGCCATCATCTACAGTGAGGACCAACCTTCTAGCACACAAACCCCTAGGGGATAGGTCATATGTGAACCCTAGAACTCCCTGCAGTTATATTAAAAGGTGGAAACTTTCAGAGGTAATTAAAGTCATTGGAAATGTTCCTTCATGAGTCAGATTAGTGCTTTTATAAAAGAAGTTGGAGGGAGTTTGTTGTGCCCTTTTACTGTATGAGGTCACATATAAGGGGCAATCTATGAGGAACAGGGCCTCACCAGACACCACATCTTCTGGCACCTTCCTCTTAGAGTACTCAGCCCCCAGAACTGTGAGTAATCAATTTCTGCTATTTATAAGTTATCTGGTAAAAGGTATTTTAACACAAAAACTTAAATGGACTAAGGCAATCTCCAACACTATATGTCCAGCCTCCATGCTAAGGGCCATTTAATGGAATGCAACCTCACTTTCTGGCAGCTTCTTAAGGTCCAAATTCCTCTGTGCTTTGTAAACTTAGCTCTGGAGAAAAACACAGCTAAATCATCAGCCAGATAGAAAATAGACTGTACACAGTTGCTCCACCTAATTCCTTGTTTCAATCTCTTTTTTCAAGGCCAAACTGGGATTAGAGATGTGGTTCAAGGGACTGTGAGATCCTGAGCCAGACTACAAGTGCCAAATTCTAAAGGCACAAAGATTCATCTTAACCTGATACTAGACCACAGCAAAAGATGGAACCCAAGCTTAACCTAGTTCACTCTGGGATTGCATCATTTGACACCAAGTCACAATGACTTTTATGCAAACACGTTAAATATAATAGGATTTGATTAGTATGTTACTTTAAATAATGAATGTGTTGCGTGCTCTTACTTAAATATCAGTGCTTAAAAATCTTCATTCTTATGTACACTGGCTTATATCTGCGAGCTCAAGCTCGCTCCTTATTCACTGGAAACAACTGAGAAGGTCACTTGGAGTTGACACAATTCCTCTTGGGTTCACCTCCGCTTCACCCTCTGCTCAGGCAGCTTGCTGAAGGCAGTGACTCACTTCCGTCCCTCAGCATCTGTTCTTATTTCTGCTATCTGCTCACAGGCTCTCTGTGGAACCATGTGAGGTCAGTAGTGGGCTCAGCTTGTACACTTGCCAGGGAGTGGGCTTCTAAGCAGCAGCCTTCCACAATGCAAGCGAAGGCAGATGTTTAAATACTTCTGCCACCCTCCTTTCACTGGCTGATTCCGAGAATTGTTCTGTGGGCTTCTATACGTGCTCAGGATAAACAATCTCAGCCTTGGTTATGTGATTCATATGAGCTTCTCCATTTCCTCGTCACGCTGCCACTCCTCCATCCTGATGCCTGAGGCCCCTTCCCAAAGGAAATAGCTGCACATAGGTCCTACCTCAGTTTCCAGTTTTTGGATTCATTGTTTTAGACAGTCAATCTTTATTTTCCTACTCGTTGGTCACAGACTAGATCCCAGCTAGCAAGTTCACCCTGGCCAAGGCCAGGGACTCATCTAGACTCTTTGCAGCCAGAACAGGGTCCAAGTGGGCAACCAAACTTAGAACTAATAGGGATGGAACTAAGCTAGGATAACGGCAAAGTAGAGATCAACTAAATAAATAAGTAAAGGTATAAAAATAACGAAAGCCATATCACTCTTGTTGAAGAAGATTCCATAGAAAAACACAGAAAGTTGGAAGACTATCAAAAACGTATGGTATTGGCCTGGAATTGGAAGTATCGGTGTGAATCCATGGTTTTAAGATATAGATTAGTAAGTATGTAGGTAGTGCCTTTCCTAATATCCCCAATTTAAAGAAGGAGTGGTTTATTTTAGCTCACAGTTTCAGAGGGTCCAGTTCATAGTCAACTGCCTCCAAAGCAGAAATGGCATCTCAGAACACCATGGTGGAGGAAAGTTTTCCATTTAATAGTAACCAGGAAGCAGAGAGAAAAGGGAAGACACTGGAACAAGAGTATACTGTTGCAATTCATGCCCTCAGTGAATCACCCCTTCTGACCAGCCCCTTCCTCCAAATGAGGCTTTTCAGGGCTATTTTAGATCTAAACCATACAGATGATATAGGATAGATAGATAGACATAGACAATAGCAGATAGATACTGGTCATAGAACTAGAGAAGACAGAGAGAGAAAATAAAATATATACACACATACGTATACGCATATAGAATATATTCATAGGAAAAATCTAAAAACAGTGCCATGAGTAGTAATAAGATAACCGCTCTTCACTAAACAAGCAAAGAGTTCCTTGAATAAATGGTTGACTCCAGAACTGGAATATGCTTGTTGTGTTTTAAAAGAAATAAAGGTGAACATCAATTTATAAGACTCAAAGAATGAAGGAAAATTGTCAGAATACACATAAGAATCATTTGGAAGACATTCATAAGAGCAGTACCACTCAATTTGTTTGCCAAAAGCAATATAAACTTTTGAATTATAAAATAATTTCTTTAACTCATTGAGTAAAATTAGAGAAAAGAGATTTCCAATTAGAGTAAAATGCTAAGAAATAAGTATAGAAGGAATCACTAGTTAGCAAATCACTGTTTGGCAAACTTGATTCCAGCAAGAATCATCTCTGGATGCTAAAATAGACAGATGAAAAATTGATTAAGAATCAACTGTTGACATAACCTCAAACTATCTCCCCATGTAGAGCTAATGACAATTCATTAATCAATAAGTACATAGTTATTGATTAATGTACACAGTTAATCAGAGAACTGAAGATAGCATTTTAACCAAGTATTAAAAGTT